TGTGTAATTATTATTATGATAAACTTTACTGTAATTTGAACGTAGTTCCGGAAACTCAACTCTCGATAACTCGACATTCCGTAAAACTCGTCGTGTGGTTCAAAAACAAAATACATATACCGTAATCTAATTTTTACATCTGTAACTTAACCCTAGGTAAGTTACTGTTATTCATCGGTAAAACTTGATTATAGCATGAATTCCACGTATTAACAAAGAATATAATCCTTTTTCCCAGCTGCCACTGCAGAACGCCACGAATGTAACTCGAAAATAGCAACTGACTAGCCAATATATGTATATATATTTTTTTAAAATTAAAATATAACTACAAATAGATGTATTCGCTTTTGGTGTAAAAGTTAATAGGTATGTGAATTTGCACATATAATACTCTTTACGAAAATTTCTCTATTTAGACTAGAATCATTGCTATGCCGCTGTACGTTAAACAAATTCATTAATTTAGCGGAATTCCGCTAATATTGGCTATATGTTCCAGCGGATGAATATATTGTATTAAAATGAGGGTCAAATTTTATAATTTCGTTCTACCACTTTACTTATACAGGAGTCCGTAAAACTCGTCGACTTCTCAGTCCGCAATAAGTCGAGTTTACGAGACTCTATTGTAATTATATAAATTAAAAAGGAACGGCAATTTTACCGATTTTGTCAGTTCACTAAAATTACAATAAATATGTAAATTATGACAAGGTATTGTTACATCTAATTGTTTACTGATGACAAATATTTGGCCAGAATTAACCAACAAATATTGCATGTCCATGTTTACGTTATTGTACGCTGCTTATTTTTGACTCATACGTCATTAGTGAACGTATTTTATTGTTTCGTCTATTCTAATTTGTCAGATTATCAACAAATGAACGAAGGCGTAAAATAACATTTTATTTTCATGTACAAAAAGCACGAGTTCTGTCTGCTAAGATACAGTTACTTCCTTCTAAATCGCCACTTATTATGTATTATTGGACTGTGTTTACACGATCTTAGTGTTGTACCGATTTAAGGTAAGGTCGCCTTTTGCGCCTCCTTGTCCAGTTTCACTGGCGAGTTGGTGGGTCGTTTCTATGGTAACCGACAGGAAAGACGGTCGAGCAGCCCACACGGACAGTGAAAATCCGGTTTAAATGTAAACACCTGCTTAGGCGTAAGATTTTTTATCATTTTTCTTTTTGCTTAGTTTAAGCATTACTTTTGGCAAGTGATAAAGAAGACACTTTTTAAACTTAAAAGCAGGGCTACTTTAAAAATAAATCAGTGTAATTGAGTGATGAAATACATCGATTTTTACATTAGAATGGATAACAGTCGTACTCTAACTTATTTGTTTCATTAAATTAACAATTGAAAATAGATAAAATTAAAATTGTTGAAAAGAACCAGCACTTCATTTGTAATAATTGATCAGTATTAATGATTAGTACATTATTACATCATTTAATCAGCTTTAATATCAATTTTGTATGTTGATAATAAAATCTTGATACTCATATTTTAATAACTGTACATACTAATTTATAAATTAGATAAGTTTGAGCCTATTCGCTATTAATCTGAACATTTGAATCTTAAGTGTATTGAAAAATTGTCAATTCTGGAACAAGAATGTTTTAAAAATTTTTATAAATTGAATTATTTACATAGAAGCGTTGCGTAAAATTTAATTAATATATCTGTAAATCGATCTTGTTTTAGTTTGCCGAGAAGCTGTCCTATCAAATATTTTAAAGGATTGAAACTTTCCTTGTTTGTTTATGCATATTTGCAAAACGCGTAAAATATTCTATAAATGATAACAGATTTATACTGTTGATGAATTAATTAAGTAAAAAATTTCTTTGATTTCAGACCCTTCGATGCAACGCAAACGTGGACGTAAGCCCGGGTCTCGCGTTTGCAAACTTTGCAAGAAAACATTCGCTAGCACCAACGATTTTATGATGCACCAACATCATTTCCATAGCGGAGGAGGAGGAGGAAGTGGAAGTAGCGGGACCGGAAGTGGCGACGGCAGTCTGACTATATCTGCCATTGGTATGCTAAGTGGTACAGGAAGTGTGGAAACCACCACCGGTGAAGACGTCAGCCCTCACACTTTGGTGGAGACAGTTCTGTCCTTTGACGACTTGCGTGGTTCTGACAGCGAGGATCAGGAACCAGTCAACTTGATGGAGCCAACCAGTTAGACAGGTGTGCTGGGAAAATAGTTTATCTATTACGGAATCGAGGGAAACGATCCGATATACCCCGTTTCTTCGATTATTAAGTATTAATTATTATGATTAAATCGGATCTATTCCCTTTTATTCGCATACTTCCGTAACAAATAAACTGTCGTGTAAATAGATTTTTAAGTAGTGTTTAGAAAATATGTGAGGTGACCACTAATTTTATTCCTAAGATTCATAAAATCGCGTTTTGTCCCCTGTCTCTCTCACCACCTTCCTTCTCCCTACAGGGTACGGCCTGGCCAAACGGAGGGGCCGTCCACCCGTCCTGGGCATCCGGCTCCGACCGCAAGACCTGATCTGTCATTACTGCAACAAGACCTTCTCCAACAAGAGTAACTTCGACGGCCATTTAATGATGCACACGTCGCACAGGAAGAAGTACCGCTGCGATATATGCAACAAGTCTTTTCTCTGGCGGAATAACGTCTATGCCCACAAACGGAAGATTCATCAGATTCCATCCAGTAGGAGCCCGCGGCAGTGCTCCACGATGCCTTCTGCCACTCATATCGACCCATCTGCCGGTGCCGTTCAGTTGCCGGCTCGTGAAAATGCTGCCACCCCGACCACCACCAATTCCTCGGTTCTGATGATCCGAGCAGCGGGAGGAGCTTGGAAACCTGTGGACAGATCCAATTTGGAATAACCATCCCTTACTGTATCGCCCTACCCTCTCTCTAACCCTGTAAAGCAGAACCCTTAGTCCAGTTCTGAATTCTACATCAATGATATGCAAGTTGCAGGGTGAGAGAGGGAGGCAATCAGTCAATATGCAGTCTAATCACTGTGTTGTTTGTAGTGTCGTCTGTGCTTCTTTTTGTATTCTCTGCACTGTTTATAGCGGTTCACGATTTCTTGCTGTGCGATCCGTGTGATCGATGGATAAGAACTAAAAATCACCTTTTACGATGAAGAAAGACAACGAGCGGACGGAAGACCTACGAAGTGCCCAAAATGCGATAACTTAAGCCTTTCTCTTGTTGTTGTTGTTATTGTTGCCATTGCTGAGTTCAAAAGATGATGAATCCGTGGTCCTGGGAGACAGCGCTACAAGCCCTTAACCTCTGAACACCGCACACGGGACGAGTCTGAAAGGGTCATTAAAGGTCACACTTAACAAAATGGGAAAATCGTAATACAAATAAAACGCGTAAAATAAAATTTATAAAATTTATTTAAAAAATAGTAAAAATTTATACAAAAATGAACAAATAAAAATAATTAAATATATAAAAATTATCCGCGAACGAATCGATTGGAGGAGGGGAGAATTTCTTCTTCCGTTCGGTTAGTTCGAATTTTTACCACCGCATGATGTTGGCGCTGTTATTTAAGAACTTAATTAATGATGCAGACTCGATCGATCCGTTGTTAGACACTTCAACAGCACTTCTCATCACCGATGGACCCTTTCGGCCGCAGTCCACCCACCGTACATAAACGTACGCACACTTTATGTGTACATAAAGGGGTAACGGTAAACAAAAGAAGCCTACTGAACTATGCAGTAAATCGTTCCCCGTATAAATGTACACGATACAAATGCATTTAATGTCAAACGCTCAGGTCTTTTGTCACTCAGTTTTAGTGATCAATTTCAACTATTCAATCTCGTCGGAAGACAGTTGTCAGTCCAAAAAATTTGGCGCCTGGACTCTGCTGTTTTTTGCAAGCGGTGTCTTCCGCCTTTAAATGTTTTTTAGGTGTCAAACACCCAGCAGAAAGTGGCGTCCTGCTTGAAGCGTCCAATGGCACTTCAAAAGTGACCGGCGGCGCTTCGAAGAACAACCACTTCCCGCACCCTCCAATTAGCATCAGCATTTAGGAGGATAAGTCTCCCTCGACCCGGGTTTAATCATCACGTGATAAATGTAGTAGGATTTGCAACGTTTATTTTTCTAGCAGAAGAACGTCCTGACGTGTTTTGTGGTAATAACCTTAGATTAGAAATCGTGTTTTAGATAAGGCTCCACCGAAGCCATAGTCGACCAATTGTAGCTGATTGTGTGTAGTCAAAAGGTTATTTTTATTTCTTTAGTAGCCGTAGCTTATGTAATGTAGTGTCGACAGTAGATGTACGTGTGTGTTTTAGTAATGTGTGTTTTGTGTCTCATATCTAATCTCTCTGATCATATATCTCTGCGTATGTCTTTGTTTGTGGTGGAATAAATATATAAGCCATACATATTATATACATACATATACACGATCATCATGTCTTTGTATCAATTCGTAGTGCTTGCTTAAACATCAATAAAGAATGATAATCACTATTTTGCTTCGTTCCTTTATGACGTTCCGATTTTACGCAAACATATTACATAAAATTACAAATCAATATATGTATATTTAAAAATGTATTTAATCGCGTTGTACTCTAGCGGGAAGGATGGTGGGATAGAGTGCAACAAACACTAGTCGTTCGGCGTGCGTGACGTTTCTTATATAAATTTAAGTAGTGTTAACGAATTAATGCGTTCTTTAACTATAAGTAAGTCATTCTCTCGTTTCGATGGAACTAAAGTTTCCATCGAGATATCCGTCTAGTTATTAAATCGACATCCTTCAAAAAACTGAGAATTTTTAAATTTAAAAAAATAATAAAAAGGCAACTCCGATGGATTCATCTCGAATAATGATAAGAAAAAGGTCCGTAAATTAATATATTATTTATCATGCAATCGCGTCTATAATTGATTTCGGACGTGATACTAATAAAGGGTATTCCTACCCCCATACCAGGTGTTTCAAGTCAGCCGTGTATGATTGGATTGCCACCTAAACCCTACTACTGCGACGATTGCGGCAAAACATTCATCTCCATGCCATCTTTAAGAGTACACCGTTATTACGAACACAAGTGTCGAAAGAAGTACCCATGTATGGTTTGCGGGAAGGTCTTCAAACGTAAGCATAATCGCAGCTGTCATTACCATATTCACGGATTAAGAAAAGACCAACTTCCGCCTGATTCCGAAACGTTAAGTTAAAAATTTTCGCGGTGAGTTCGGTAGTTATTAAAGAAAAAAAATTAAAAAATATTCAATGGACGAATGAAATAAAAGGATTTCTTTTCCTTTTCTTTTCGTTTTTATTCAGGACTGGAGCGATCTAAAGCCAAACCGTTCCGTTGTACAATATGTCTGAAGAATTATGTCAGTGCTTCTTGCCTACGAAGTCACAAGCATTACCAGCATACAAACGTCAAGAGGTTGCAATGCCCGTACTGTCCGAGAGTATTTAAGAGAAATTTTGATTTCAAGAACCACGTTTTTTATGTTCATGAGGCCAAAATGGAAACAGTTTTCACTGGAAATATATAAGAAAACTGATCATGGTTTGTAAATGATTTTATTAAGAGAAATTAAAGACGTTGTTCTGTTTTCCTGAAAATATTCTTTGGTCATTATTTTATAAATTTGCTTTAGATACTATAAGTTTATTATTAAAACAAAAAAAAAACAGAAAATAATAATATATTTTACTACCTTAGAATTAAATAAATTAGGTCGTAAAACGGTAATTTATATTCTACATTTATCAAAATGAGACATATAGCAGGAGACATTACCTTATAAGATCATTTACTTTATTAAAAATATGATTATTATTTTAATGGTATAATTATCATTTAAATATAAATTTTCCACGCTTAGTTTTCTGTCTAAAAATATTGCGTTTCTGTCTCGATTAATAACTCTTTCACATTAATTATTGAAATTTATGATAGCGCATTATTACCTGCAATTTAGACTGACTAAAACATTAAACTCTCTTACTTAGGAGTAGGTATGACGGATGAGATTGTAATTTATTACTTATAGGAACCTGGTAAATGCTCTTTACTAATATATCTAAATTTGAATTTCTAATTCTCAACGGATAAAACTCGAAGGAAATTGAGTTCTAATGTATTAACTTACCAACAGATTTCTTTTATAATGCGACGAAACTGATATAAAATAACTTTTTATACATAAATTAAGTCAATAGTTTAACTATAATTATCTAGCCTTAAAATATAATTTTATATACTTAAAAATTTAATTTGTATTTTAATAAAGTTTTCCAGAAGTTTGAAAGATGAAAGGAAAATATTGTATCTCCGTTTGTTTCTTATAATCCTCTACTAACGAAAATATCGATAACAGGCACAATTTTTATTTTTAAATTAATCAGCATTTATACAATGAAACGTTTAAAAATTTGTAATTTATGATAATGTTAATAAATTAAAATATTTATTGTAATTATAATATAAATAAAACTAATTCTGCCATCCAGCAGGCCGACCTTTCGTCGTACCTTACGTCTCGTACGTCAAGAAAGCCTTCCTGTGCGATGACTGCGGAAAAAGCTTTCGTTCGGCTCCTTCCCTCAGAGTTCATCGATACTACGAGCACAAAAGTGCCAAGAGATACAAATGCAACATCTGTGAGAAAATATTCAAAAGGAAACATACGCTTCTTCGTCATAGCAATACTCACATGAATATAAAAAACTGATTATATAGAAGTTAAAACATTGTTATCGGCTCAGGAATTGATCTATATTGATATAGGCTTATATATTTTTCATTTTCCTTCTTTGTTAAAATCTAATCTGTAAATTAAATTATGTCAATTAATTATGTTGTATATATAAGTTGTATATTTGTTTCGGAAAATTTTTTATTAGTTTTATGTCATAGTGAATGCTTTACGTAGTACGTAACGTGTTGCTCTTTAGTCGATAAGCACCTTATACTACAGTGTACAATAATTGAGTTCAATAAATCTTCCACATTCCTAGGAGAAAGATATCGAAATGCCGAAAGTGGAGGGAAGCTGTATTGGTGCGGAATCTGTTACAAGGAGTTCACCACCGCCTTCTCTTTGAAACGTCACCAGTCCATTCATAACCCGAACTTTAGAAAGTATCAGTGTCACATGTGTTCACGTCATTTTACTTGGTTCGATAATCTCAGAGCTCACATGGTGGGTATTCACGGGGTCAAGATGAAATTTGGACGTTCCAGATCTCAAAAATGGAAACAGCAGTGATATGTTTTGATTTTTTTTTTCCTTCTTTCTAATTCGTTTGTAACAAATGGAAGAACCGGTGCGATTTTTCTTACAGAACAACCTGCAACCGAAAGATTATCAAAAGAGAAATTACTATATTTGTTACAAATTTTAATAGGTAATTATTAAAATCACGTTCTATGAATCGTGTAAAGGAATATAAATATGTGTATATATTAAAAGGGAAAGTTATACGCGTGTTTAAGCTACTTTTCAGTGACGTGGCAGGTGATCTTTAAGAAATGACGCGCCGGTTTTGGCAATGGGAAAATTATTTTATGTATTTTAAAGAAACTCAACATAAATTGTTTTTCATTAATAAAAGAAAAAAATGTTCGTCCATAACATTGTAAGAAGTAAGTTTTATGGGGATTCTATTCTTAGTTTAATTATTGTTATATATTAAAAAAAGAATTAAATATAATTAACTTTAAAGAATAAATATATTATTTTTTTGCAAAAATGTTGAATATATACTACATACACATATATTTAATAAATTATTGCAACTCGTACAGGTTTATATGGTTTCAGTAAATAAAAAAGAAAGAGAAAGAAATGTCATGTTCATTTTTTATATTTAATTTGATAAAGTTTTGTGTAGAAGACAACGTTTCTTTCGCTCGCATTTCGTAACCAAATGAACAAACGAGTGAAGGTGATCGATAAAAATACAAAACTCAATTCCTTTCCATGTGGCGCCATCTGTTCGAGAATTTTTGCTTCATTTGAACAATGATACTCAATTATTCTCTCATTTTATTATTTTTATAAGTTCGTTATCTGTTTATTTTTTTAAAAGCGAATTAGATCAAATTCCATACATAATAATTATGAATTACAATAAATTATTTTGAATTGCGATACAAATTCACTTCTAATCAATAAAAGTGAAAAATAAAAATGTTAAGAACAGTTTTTTTTTTAAATGTGTGTATAATAACTAAAGATCCGCTATTTGAAATTAGTACACGAAATGTAGATTTGAACGTATTAACTCGCACTGTTTTGAACTATTGATAGAATTTCGTATGTTTATTTTTATTGGAAAACTTTTGAATTATAGTAAATTCGCGTTTCCAACAATAATCAATTAGTAATTTAAATATTAATAATAATTAGAGTACATTGGAAACACAATATAGCTCATATAACAATAATTAGTTTTTGCAGTAAAACGTTAATGGTTCCATAAAATTAATCTTCTTAATATTTGTTTTTAACTATTCAAATGATGAAAATGACTTCAAGCATAAAGCTATAAATGTTTTTGAAAAAATATTGTCTATTATAAGACTATTATTAATTTGGATTTATAGCTATGCACAAATTACTAATAGTCTTATTTGAATTAACGGCATGATGTAAGAACTATACTTTTGCATAACCTATGCAAATATTTTTGCATACTAACTTGTAACTTGCATATTTATACCTTCGTATGTCTTTCTTAAACTATTAAGTACCATTTTTTAAAGTTTTTATGGCGTTTTCTTAAGAATTTCTAAAAGTGATAATTTATCTTTGACAACATTTTCCTAGATTTTTATCGAATTTAACGTATTCTTAAGTGTTTGTGATCAATACGACTTACTTTGTGTGACTGTTTTACACGTAAATAATTGATTATACTTTATACAAATTGTTACTGTGTATATGTATATTAATATATTTACATAACTATTGAGTACGATCAAAATCGTAATGATGAAGTTTAGATTCGGCATTAGAGTTCCATATCAGTTCTGATCGAATCATATCTACAGTCTGACAGGTAAGTGTAGATATTTTGGGAGAAAATAGTCCGAATGAAAAAAAAAAAATGTTATGTCGCGAAAAAGCATGCTTTTTGTATGCAGGTAGGCTACGTTTTTACTAGTATCGTAAACAAAAATCGTGAGCAATTACGAAATATTTGTTTCTTAACAGGCAGATTACGGCATACGGGTAAAGAAGAATTGAAAGACAAAGTGTACAGCTGTCCAATATGTGGCCAGAGAATGCATTATCGAGGTAATTTGAAGCGTCATTTGCAAGTGAAACACGAGTCATCTCGACAGTTTTATATCTGTGATCTATGCGGACGAAGTTACAACAGGAAAGATAACTACGTGGCTCATTTCAGGACTCATATGAAGACGTATTGAATTGACGATGTACGTAATCCGATGTCTGTTGTCAAAAAATTTAAAAGATATTTTCAGAAATATATTTCTCTGGAAATCTTTTATTATTATTATTTTTAATATATAATTGAATTTCAGGAAAATAATTCCTCTTCCATCGATTAATTTTAATTTTTTAACGTTAATTTAATACATTGATTGCATTGATATAACTCAATTCGATTGTACGAAATAATATTTTTTTAAGTAAAATATTTAAAAATTTTATAGCGTTTAAAATATTTTAAACATTTTAAAATGGCGATTTTCCATTTTTACAGCCACCGATCGATTAGAACCAAAGCAAGAAAAAACAAAAAAGAAACGTATAAAACTCTACAGCTGTTTTGTATGTGGCCAGACAACTTGTTATCGTCAAAACTTGAATCGGCACCTTCTTAAACATCAAAACGAACATCAGAAATATACTTGTGATATATGCGGCCGTAGTTATAACAGACGGGATAACTATAAAGCCCATTTTAAGACTCACAACAAAAAATTTCGTAAGACGTGATGATGATAATGATGATGATGATCCGTGTTGTCTGTTGATAATTTGTTGTTTTCTAGAAACCAAAAAACAATATAAATAAATAAATATATATATATATATATAAATGCAGTATTTGAAATTTTCGACGGTGACCGAGATTTATTATTAAACTCGTTAAAAAGTTCCTGCGTTGATATTCTGGAATATATATTTCTAAGAAAATTCATTAATTTGTTAAGTTGGGAAAAATAAACAGACATTTTAATGACAGCTGCAGCTAATACTACAATTAAAAATCGAATGACGACGATCCGATTGTAAATATTAAGAAAAATATATCGTAGTAATTACCGTGTAAAATATATTTATCCTTATATAAATGTAAAATAGTTTCGGTATTCTCTCTTTCATTCTAAATAATTGCAGGCAAATCGTCAGTTTAAAATAACTGAATTAGAACCAAAGACAATCGTCGACACTTCTTGAAAATGTGTTAGATTTTTATCAGGTTTTTTGTATACAGAATAAGAAAAAAAAAGTTCATTAAAATTATTCTTAGGCTTTGAATATGATTTATTTAAACGAATAAAATTGATTTATCTACAATCTTATGTACACTTTGGGTAGAGGAGGGAATGGTA